CCTAATACTATATAATAATAATAAGGCCACTTATATAGAGCTGAACTCTTGAAGGTTAGTAGTCACATGACTTATCCCGCCGGGGTACCCATTTTCTGCTGTGTGAACAGCGTCAAGTTTGAACATACTCACTTGCCTAAGACCACTAATGTGTTTCATTGTGGGGCAGGACTGATGTCCTAGAAACTATGGAGTCAAACTGTCCAACACAGTCATCCATCAGTACCGTTTGTGTCCAAGGCTGCCTGATTTGTAAACTTACTCTATGCACAGGGCCACACACCACCATGGCAAGGGACCAAAGATAACAGACAACGGGCCGCACACAACCAGTGATTGATATTGTGAACAAAAATGGGGGTACAATGACACATATATAATCAGCCAATGACACATATATAATCAGCCATCACAGAGTCCCACTTGTGTTAATGGCATTGTGTGTATTGAGTGTCTGATTGAACTGAACAGGACTGAACTTTACTTACACTCCGGCCGTGTTCTGCGGCATTAGAGGTACAAGTTTACATCATAATGTACAACTTAACTACATGTATGAAACATAAGTTGGTCGTATATACATATCGCTTGGTTGCAAGAGTAAACTGACTTTACATACATTTAAAAAGCTAAATGGACAATGTTACACTCATGCGTTATTGTGGGTTATCTTTTGTGGTGGCATCGTTTAGAATGAGACATTATTATATAGCAAAATATTGCTAATTTCCTAATTGTTCCTAGTTTGTTAGAGTGGAAAAGGTGGCTCATATTCGGGTTTCTACAGAAATAGTTGTTGATATATTCATTCATTTCTTGGGCCAAGGTAGGGCAAATAAACAAAAAGTGAAATTCATCTCCACTAACGTTTGCATTACAGGGAGTACACAATCTTTCATTTGGGGGGACTTTTCATCCATCGTCCTGTTTCAATTGGTAGATAATGGTTTGAAGTTCTGAAATTAAGTAACGCCCTCTGATTATTATAATGTAATAAATTCAGATTTATACCACACCTATAAACTGGCTATTATTCTAAGCCATGATCCAATTTCTAGAATTTAAATCCATTCAACTGTCTTGGGTTCATGCCGTAATCATTCATATGAATATTGCAGAACATTAACTATTTTAGTTGTTGATGTCCAACTGAAAACTGCCTTCACTATTTCTCAAAATATTTTATTCCTAATTCTGTATGGCCAAGTTGAACCTCAAGAAGGACAACTGTATTCAGCAATATGTCACCATATTGTTATGCACATCTGAATTATAAATAATAATTCTAGTACCGTTCAAACAATTCATAACTATTTCATAGAATCCAACAGGTTTTCATTATCATTACAATAGAGCTTTAATTAAATAAGTTAATTAAACATGTAACACTGAATAATAGTACTGTATTTTGTTACACTATTAAATGGTACATTTGTATTTAGTTTCCCGGATGAAAAATACTACTAAAAACTATGTATGCATATCTAATTACATTTAAATATTATAGTTCTCATGATGCACAAATAACTTGTTTCCGTGTGTATATAGAGTAAACAAGGTCTAAAACAAACTAACAGATGTAACACTAGACTGATTACGTCACTTGCGGTGTATCAGAGGCCAAGATAAGCTGCGTATCCAGGTAAAATACGCATAGAAAATTTCCAATTACGCATTGAAAAATAATTGTTGCGTACCAATTACGCATTTAAAATGTTAGATACGCAAAAAGTTTAAAACAAATGCGTATGGAATACATTTATAAAAATCGCTTGCGTAATGAAAAAATACATCCATTGCTATCAAGTTGTACTGTTAGTATAGGACAAGTGTCGTACTGTCAGTATAGGATTAGTGAATTTTTCTGAAATCATTTCCATTATCTTTAAGTTGGTTTTGATTAGGTATGACATAAGGCAGAACATACCTGCTTAGTAAGTTTGCTTCATGACATAATACTTAGGTGAGTAAAATGACTGAAATATGCACATATTTGAAAGCAGTGGGTAACGGAAAATGAAATACCCACTCAACATTCATAATACCCACTCCAAAAAAATACAGTGGGTACAGTACCCACATGAGCTAAATCTTATCTGGAGCTCTGGGTGTATCTTATTGAAATTCCACACATCCAACTATTTTAATAATGAATTAAAATCAGTGGCTCCTTTGAGCAGGGACCATATAATACATAACTCGCACCACATACAGTGTACTCTGTCAATACCGGCATCAGTCGGGACCAAGTAAAAATGCCGGTTTTGACAGAGTGCCGGTTTAGCTAGGTTCGCTTATGACGCCTGCGCACACGGAAGTTCGCTGTCGTACTGTCACGTTAGCATTAACAAGATGTTTGAATAAGAAACAAGGCAGTGTCTGAATGCACATTCATGTTGTTTAAATCAAATAAAAATGTCTGAAATCTCTTATTGAATTTCAACTGATCATATATTATCGGCAGAATTAAAATTATAAACTATTCGTCTTTCATGTGCCGGTTTTTACAGATTCGTTTTCATAACAACTTGTTCGTTGGGACTGAAAAACAATGCCGATATCCTGAATAGACAGATGCCGATGTTTACAGAAGTTTCTAAATGATAATAACGTGCATTTCTGCCGGGACTGAAACTTTGTGCCGATGTAGACAGAGTGCCGGTGTTAAGAGAGGCCGGTATTGACAGAGTCCACTGTATATATAATTTATTAATGTTTGAAGGGAAAGGGCAGATAAGTGAGCAGCTTTTAGCCAATCCTTTTGTATGAACTGTTAGTTCTAAAATGTAACATCTTCAGTTAAAACAGTCTATGTGTGTATGGAAACGTAAGTTGTTATGGTGTCCTCCCATTACGCAGACACCCAGTTCGCAGACACCTTAAAACAACAACATTTACGGTTCAGTGAACAGATTATCTACTACCTGTTACCTACACATTATTATGGAATAGTCCAAATAAAAACACAGGAACTATCTGAAGCTTATTTATTTATTTTAAAAGATGGACGAAAAGACAGTAATTTGAATTTTTATTGCTGCAATATAAACACAGTTTATTTTAATAAACATTTCGGTTTAACCTTCTTGTCTAACGGGAGTCGGCATCATCATATTGAAAACACTAACTTAGCTATTAGAAATTGCGACACTGTTGTATGACGCATCATGTGAATGTGACCCTGGATGTGAGAATGTTTTTTATTACTTCCTTGAATGTCCATTGTATACTACTCAAAAACACAAACTGTTACAATCTTTAGAAAGTATTGTTAAAATTAGAACACTGATTGGTATTAATCGTATCTTACATGGCAATGCAGGTGTCTCATTTACTGCAAATCAGAATGTTTTTTAAATATGTACATATCTATATCTCTCCAACAAAACGTTTCTCAGTTAACTTCTGTTGTACATATGCTATTATTGGGAGGGGTCTTTTCTATCAATAAACACAATCAAACCTCTCAGTGACAAACCTGTTTGTATATTCGACAGTAATTGATAGTAAAATCAATTTTGAGAAGAGAAACCATTTATCATTTAATCACAACAAAGTTCTATTTGCCCACCATCAAACTTCTCAGTAACGAACCTGTTTCAGGCTCACCCTGCTCTGCTCACTAGACAGTGGACTGTTCCATTATACCCGTAGGTGTCACCCTAATTAACCTTCTAGTTCAGTGTCTGCCAATTGGGTGTCTGTCAAATGGGTGTCTGTCAATTGGGAGATAACCGTTGTTATAAAATACAACTTCCCATTCATGGGTCTTAATTTCTTGTTAAAACCCACACAAGCAATTTGGCAGCCATTTAACATGTGAGAAAGAGTAGAAGCCAAAATGATATCTCATGAATTGTCTTAATGGCTATAGACTTGGTCTTCAACAACCTATGCTTGTCACAAGGGTTACAAATGGGATTGGGGGCTTGCTGACTTGGTTGATACATGCGTAGATCAATACTCATTCTGTGGATCACCGGATTGTCTGGTCGATTACTCGATTATTTACAGACCTATTGCCGGATGTGGCATCAAACAAAATGCAAACAAATAATCTAAATTGCTAAACGATGTTAACATAGAGTTGAAAAAATAACCCACCGACCATATCTATATGAAATGGCGCTACTTAAATAGAAAGTATTTTGTCAACCTCAAAAATTTGCTGTAGAAAATATAATTTAGGGACAGTTCATAATTTATGACCAGGGGGGATGATGATGGTTTTTATGGAGAAGCATGTACAATGAAAATGACCCCCCCCCCTAAAATTTATGTACAAAGTAAGTGACCCCCCTGCATGTCATGTACAAAATCAATGACCCCCTTCCCCCTTCCAATATTTTTTAAGCATAATTTAAAAATATTTTTATGTACAAAATTGCTGACCTCCCCTAGAAACGTGTGTTCAGAATTGATGAGACCACCTACCTCCACCAGAACAAAATCACCCCCACCCCACCCCACCACCCCAAGCCATAAATTATGAACGGTCCCTTAGTAGCATCTTTTTAATCTAATTGTGGTATGTTTTATCAACAGAAAAGTGTACTATGTTCTTTATTGTTTTGACTATGCTTTTATAGCATTACTATTACTTATATTTTGACATCTTATTGTGAAGTTTTGATTAAGTACGGGCTAACTGCACATGTGTTATAACGAGGAACAACCTTCAACAATAGATTCCACTATTTGGTCTCGTTATACCGCGGTCCATTGACCCATTTCGAAAAGTCAATACACAGAATTTACCTCGAAAACATGTTCGTGAATAGCCTCACGTAGCCGCGCGTTGTTTTGAACCAACGCGTACGCCTAGCGTGCTTACACTATCCCGTAAGTGTTGGCTTACGATCCTTTCGTTATTGAGAAAGGAAGTTGTAAAACGCTGCAAGAACATCAACGCCACACACAACCTATCTCCGTAACCAATTACGTCAGAGCATGTTGTGGCTTCACTTTCAGACATTCGTTGTAACATATCGCCTACTTACCTATATCATCCGGCTCCGAAAATCGAAAGCTGTTGGACAGTATTTGTCTCATTGAGCTATGGCCCGCAATTTTTGTATCCTAAAGAAACAGAGCGATGCCAAATCCGTGTTGTCTCAAGAGTTGACAGTATCGGGCTCTTGCCAAAATAAAACTTCCGCACGGGTTTTACTCGTGCGACTGATGTCTCCGTTCAGGTGGTTGGTTTTGTCATTTATAGTTCTATAAATTATCAGAAATGTTCATATTAGCACAACACAACGACAGTGTACACCGCTACATTCGACACACCGCCGACTCCAAGCGAACTCACGAGACCGCGATCTCGTAGCGACCATCAGTCTGGGTCAGCGAGAGAATGCTATGTACAGCGATTCTGATTGGCTAGCGCTCTCACACCTTCTGTCAATCAATATAAGAAGTGCGATTGTTGTTACGCTTCAGCTTGGTAGTTGTGAATGAGATATTTCCTAGATGACAGCAGTCAATACCGGGTAGCCGGCGAGGTTATCTCCGGTGGGATTTTCTTCTGAAGGATGCAGTAACGGGAATAGATTACCCGTCACTTTAGCATCTGTGAATATTTGACCGACTTTTCAGGGTTGTCACGCCCCATATAAGGACGACACGTGTCTCGATGGATTATACGGTATTTTGTTCCCCGTCAACCGTAAAAAGTAAACACAAATACAGCCCGTAACATAGTAGTCGACCACTCGTGCACTTATCAGGTATGTAGAGGCGCTGCGATAATTGCAGTTTACGTGAAAATAAAGAGTCGCATATAAAAAAATGATCCATTTTTCAAAGTCCAGTTATATAATATAGACTGAGTCATGGAAATGTTCACTCAATTAATTTCTGAAAAGCAAGGCATACGTTTGGAAAAAAAATGGTCGACACGAACTTTCAACACATTGATCCTTTTGCGCTGTATATAGAGTATACATACATGCATAGCGGTGGTATAGAGAGATCACATATATAGAACCTTTTCATATCAAATGACACCAGTAGATAAAACTCATAAAACCTGAATATACTTTTATCGACAGGCTCGTAAAACCCCACTTATTTATTACTCAACCGTTTAAAGTCAGTAAACCACTGATACATTGCCACCCGTTCTCTATGTCAACAGCATCTTTTTCCAACGTTGACTTTTCAGTAATTATAATTAATAGATAATTACATTCGCCCCTGTTTGATATCGTTTTATTAAAACTCGTATATTTCAAAACGTAGGGTACAATATTCCAGCAATATCACGACGGGTGACCCCAGATATGAGCTTCACACACGTGCGTGTGGTCCTGTGCACAGAGCTCAGGTCACGAATCAGTTGAAGTTAAGCAACCTCGAACTCGGACAGTTCTTGGATGGGTGACCGTGTTTGGCAGCTTGACTCCTGAGAGTTTCTAGGACTTCAGTCCTGCCCCACAACGAAGCACATGACTTTGTGATGCATGTGGTCTCACCCCAGGCAAGTGAGTTTGTTCCAAATTGCCTCTGTTCACCCAGCAGAAAATGGGTACCTGGTTCGATAAAGTCATGTGGCTATAACCTTCTAGAGCCTAACAGGCAGCTTGGGTTATCCGGGGTAATAATAATCAGATTCTGATTAAGCGCCGCGAGCAATCACTTGGTGTTGGCGACTGTGCTATAGAAGATGACGTATTATTATGATTACCCATGCCGGGTCTTCGGCGTGAGCGTGACGAGCGAATGCTTTAACCACAAGGCTACCCCACCGCCCCATATCCACTCGAAGTAATATAAACATGATATCTAACGGGAACTCGTCCACAAGGGGATATGAACATGTAATACTATGCTTCGATGTATATCTCATGCTGTGCATGTTGCAGCCCATCGCTACTAGACTCTAACCCTCTAGGTGCTACTAATGGTGAGAGGGGTCTTAAACAGAAATTATTTTTTAATGAATGAAAGATGTTGAAGGCCCCGATGATGATGATGATGATGATGATGATGACGATGATGATGATGATGAACGCCAACCAATTCAGTATCTTCACACTGAAAGCAGACAATCTAGACCAGACAACAAACGAGAGAGACTCCTGGAGCAAAAAGTATGTCACCAAAGCCACGTGCGGTATCACTTTGAAGTGAATGCATGTTATTGCAAAACATTAGCATTTCGTTACGACGAATTCTGCTGATTATTATCACAGTGATTAAACGCCGGAGGTGAGAAGTGTCTGAAAGTGATATGCCCTCGAGCGTTTCATGGAGGAAATACGGCTTGCAAACAATATAGTCGTCGGAATTTTATAGATCTTTTATCCACTAGTAAATCTATAGAGGTAATGAGGTATACATTTTATTACACCAGTAAGTGTGTCAGACTTACAATTTTGCACGAGTTTCGTATAAGTCCTATGACACACTTGTTCGAGTGTAATAATTTCTTTATTATCCATTTTATTCATGTACATTTGTGCAGTAAAACACGGTAAGCAAGTGTGACTGCCCTCTTCATTGACGTCTTCTCGTTCAACTGCTTAAAGACGCCACTGACGACGAAATACAGAAACAATGGTTGCTAGGCAAACGTGATATGTGCACATGTGCACATGTGATATATATATGACACTGGTTATGTTTCACCATATCGGTAATAAATGTCCACACGAAGGCCATGTGACAGATCCGTCATGCACTCTGTACTATTCTTGACGTAATGCGGAGATCATTCGTGATGACGTCACAATCATAATTGAGCAATGTATTTTATTACTCACCCGTTGAATACATATAATATGTGGTGTATAACTGTTTTATCCAGATGTTTTTAAAAACTGTTTCTATTATTCCGGTCTGGCGTATATATAGTCCATTGTATAATGCATTTTCGTTCAAAGAAATTGGAGATTAGCAACAGTATATACATATTCTTAAACCACTCACTACACTTAATTTAATGGGACAACCGTGGTTTAGCATGTATGTGACTGATAGTTATGCCTGACTGGGAGAGGTGGCAGTCACATCGCCCGAGAAAAACGTAGCACCACACAATCTATGTCAACGTCCTGTTGCAAGGTAATATTGCCGTTGTGACACTGATTATGTAGCGACGAATGAAGACAAATCTTGCTGTTATAGGGGTAGCCTAGTGGTTAAAGCGTTCGCTCGTCACACAGAAGGCCCGGGTTCGATTCCCCACATGGGTACTATGTGTGAAGCCCATATCTGGTATCCCCCGCCGTGATATTGCTGGAATATTGGTAAAAGCGTTGTAATGTAACAGCTTGCATCCGGACACATCGATGTGGCGGAGACGACATACTGTGAGTTTGATTCGTGGTTTAGGTAACTGATCAATGTTGGAAAACTCACTGTGGACTAAACAAACATAAGAAGATGTAAGTAATACAAGAAAACTCTGTATAACTTACGTTTTGATATCAATTTACTTTTAGATTCTCCAGGAGATAACATGAGAGTTTATACGTGATCCACCTAAGCTCGCTGTAGAAGAACACTCGAGCCTTGTTCAGTCTAGCTTGGTGTAACACTCTGGTCTGTCACGTGACCCAACCCATGTAGATGTCACTGATCACTGTGACGTCACCAGGACGTCATGATACCTTTGTTTATATTTGTTTGTTCGCTTGCCGAAGACACCCAGATTATATCACCGAAATCTACTTGGACACCAGGGCGGATACAGCTTTTTGAGAAAGGGGGGGTGGGGTGGGGGTGGGGTGTGGTGTGCACACTGAGAAAAGGGAGGGTGCACACTTCATTTTCACCCGAGTTTCAATGGTCATTTAATAAACTTTCAGGAGAAAAGGGGGGGTGCGCACCCCTGCAACCCCCCTCTGGATCCGCCTATGGACACAAACCATAAGCGCATTTACAATATATTGATAGTAACTGTCCTTTCGTCGCAAAGGTCAATAACAATGAAATATTGTCTTGTGTTGGGGTTTGTGTGGAACTCTGGACATCTTTGGAGAAGCACTGGAACAGGAGAGTGTATTGTACGAGTTTCGTGTACACTATTTTGCACTTGTAACGTATACAAACGATTTTACTTGAGCACTGCTTATCACATCGAGGGTATATATTACAGCCTATGTTGTCATAGCAATTTATTCACGACCATTGGTCAAATGCACATTTAATTCCAAAGGCTAAATACTTTGTAGCCAAGACATGTACAAGTTAATTACAATAATTTATATGACGCTAATCTCCATTCTTAATCTCAACCAACACTGCATTGGATGTTAAGCCAACACGTACCACTGTGACTCTCGTTAATTACTGTTATTTATATTCTGACATTTAGACTTAACTGTATATACCCCGGGTTCATGCCCAGTGTCCAGCGCAACGTCCTTGTATCTCCATCTGCCCATTGTTTCTATTGTATGTTTACAATGACTATAATGGTAAGTCCTGTCCTTCAAACATCTGCCCATTGTTTCTATTGTATGTTTACAAACATCTGCCCATTGTTTCTATTGTATGTTTACAATGACTATAATGGTAAATCCTGTCTTTCAAACATCTGCCCATTGTTTCTATTGTATGTTTACAATGACTATAATGGTAAGTCCTGTCCTTCAAACATCTGCCCATTGTTTCTATTGTATGTTTACAATGACTTTAATGGTAAATCCTGTCTTTCAAACATTTGCCCATTGTTTCTATTGTATGTTTACAATGACTTTAATGGTAAGTCCTGTTCTTAAAACATCTGCACATTGTTTCTTTTGTATGTTTACAATGACTTTAATGGTAAGTCCTGTCCTTCAAACATCTGCCCATTGTTTCTATTGTATGTTTCTATTGTATGTCATAGCGATTTATTCACGACCATTGGTCAAATGCACATTTAATTCCAAAGGCTAAATACTTTGTAGCCAAGACATGTACAAGTTAATTACAATAATTTATATGACGCTAATCTCCATTCTTAATCTCAACCAACACTGCATTGGATGTTCAGCCAACACGTACCACTGTGACTCTCGTTAATTACTGTTATTTATATTCTGACATTTAGACTTAACTGTATATACCCCGGGTTCATGCCCAGTGTCCAGCGCAACGTCCTTGTATCTCCATCTGCCCATTGTTTCTATTGTATGTTTACAATGACTATAATGGTAAGTCCTGTCCTTCAAACATCTGCCCATTGTTTCTATTGTATGTTTACAAACATCTGCCCATTGTTTCTATTGTATGTTTTTACAATGACTATAATGGTAAATCCTGTCTTTCAAACATCTGCCCATTGTTTCTATTGTATGTTTACAATGACTATAATGGTAAGTCCTGTCCTTCAAACATCTGCCCATTGTTTCTATTGTATGTTTACAATGACTTTAATGGTAAATCCTGTCTTTCAAACATTTGCCCATTGTTTC